GGGTTTAATATTTTTCCTAGAACTTTTTTTTTTTTTTTTTTTTTTTTTTTTTTTTTTTTTTTTTTTTTTTTTTAAAAAAAAAAAAAAAAAAAAAAAAAGAAAAGGTTATTCCAGGGAGACAGAGAAGCTAGAAGTATCTTTTCATTTCCAGAAGCTATTGGACAGCAGTGCCTTAAGTATTTCACACAAATAATAATGCGAGAATCTCGTCCCAAGAAGGGTGCAGGAAGGTGAATTAATAGTATATAGTACGTTATTAAATACTATACTGTAGTACATAGTGTATATATATATAATAGTATACCTCGTTGCTTCTTCAGAGCCAGCTCCACAGAGCGATTTGGGCTTCTAGCCCATATACCTCAGAGCCCCGCATCTCCCAGGATATACCAAATCTGTCACCCACCAATGGGCAACATCCTTTGGTTAGCTAACAGCTGGTGATTTTTCAAGTTTTCTCTATTTTTCTCCGGCTCCTCCACTGGATCTGAAAAAATACAGTGGATCAGCCCCACGCACACAAAAAAATCCCAAATAAACAAATGAAGAAGAATTCATCCTCTTCGCTGTGTGTGAGTGTCCCCACATTACATGCAGGACTTTGAAAAGGATGCTCATTGTGGAGTTCCCGTTTGCACCAGTCCCACTGTGGGACCCACTTATATAAGTCATTGTTAAGTTTGGGGAACATCTGAATTCAAAGATGGGGCAAACCCATTGAAACAATGACGGATAGGGCAAACCCGTTAAAGCAAGGATGCCTAAGCCTAAAAAAAAAGATAAATATAAAGCTCTTTCTTTTCCATAAACAATTCAAGGTAGTTTGCCTGCTAGAGAAACACAACAACTGTTGGATTGCTTGAAAGAGATGCTGCATGCAAGAGATCCTGGGGGGTTGCTAAATTGTGCAAGGGTGCTGGCCACCTCTGCCAGGGGCTGGTGAGGCTGAGTGAGTGGTACTCAACAGGAGGATCAGCACCGCTGGAAACAGATGCCTGGATTTCACAGGAAGTTATCCCCCTGGGGGAAATTCAGTTGGAATCAGCAACCTGAACTCTTGTTGAGAATCACACCCCCGAGGTTAGTAGTAACCTTGCTTAGTAGCAGGCTCTCATGGAAGAAACGCTGGGCTGATGTGCTGTAAGCACAGTGAAAGTCATCATCAGGGCTGTCTCCTGCATGCAGACCTCTGGGGTGTGAAAGCATGCTGGCTGCCCAGCAGACAAAACGCAGCTCATGGTCCAGAGACCTGGCATCAGCACTGATAAAAACCTCAGCAACACTGCTTCTTGCAAGGGCCCAAAAGGCCAACAGCACGGACCTACAGCAGCTCATTACAGAGTGCTTGACCTAAACCAGCCCAAGGCTCTTGGATGGCGACAATACATATTGCTGGGTTTTTCTGACCTCGCTCATGTAGGAAAGTAAAATGATTATCAACAAGATATGGTCGAGCTTTCAAAAAGCAGGTGAAAACCTAGCTGACCACAGACACTGCTGACATTCTCATCATGAGTGTTTATGATCTTAAGTCTCATGTGCCACCTGTGCACTTGTTACTGCCTGAAACCTGCCTGGAATTTCCAACAATCTTCAGAAATACACCCTTTGCACTGTACTAATAATCCACAAGTATAACTGCCAGCTGAGTGTGGCTTTATTTCTGTTTAACAAAATTAAAGTAGCCTATGCAAGAACAGGTAAATGAAACTTGAGCTCTGTTGCACTTTTCTATGAAGAGTATACAGTAGGTGGTAGAAAACAGATCCCCAGAAGGCAGATCTCCCCTGGCAGAGCCCAGGAAGGCTATTTGGTGGCTGTGGCTCTGGACTGTCTCACGGTCCTGGGTGTGCAGAGACCCTGCAGGAGGTGGTGACATCTCAGCCCTGCACCGCACCTCTCCAGAGTGGGCCTTGCACAGCAGGCACACGTGAGACCTCTCGCATTTTGCCCCCCTCTCGGCCATGGTGCAGCTGACATCAGATGGTTTGGGTTCCTTAAACCCTCCAGCTGCCACATCTCCTTCCATGAGCCCATCCACCTCCGCCTGGTCCCCAGCAACCTTGTCAGGGGAAAGCCCAGCAGAGCACCAAGGATTATGGAATCGCTGCTTTTGATTTTAAGTAGCAACGAGGGTGCTATTAGATACAATGCAGCATCGGGGGTTTCTTCCCAGTTCTCCTTTTGTTATTTTATGCCAGCGCTGGAGCGGGGGGCCTGGCAGCTTCTGGCCCCATAGGCTATCTGTGCAGCACACTGCAAAGATAAGAAAGCGCAATCCCAAAGATGCCAGGAAAGCATCTTGTTGTCTGAACCCAATGATGGTGTGACACAATCTTTCCCAAAGTCTGCAGCCCTTGATTTCATCAGCTGCTGTCGCAGACAGCCAAATCAAAGGGGATAAGCTGCACGTTGTGGTTCCTGAGAGGCAGTTCGTTGAAAATCGAGTTCCAAACTTAGGCTTTAAAATAAACATATCAAGATAAACAGGTTGGTCTTTGTTTCAGGCACAATCAGCTCAACTGTTTTTTTCTTGTTGTTGATGTTCTTAATGTTTTTAATGTGGGATGCTATTTCCTGACGACTGTCTCTGCTCCAAAAACCTGTGCTCTTTCATCACCTTGGCTTTCCCCTTGTCTCTTGGGGTTTATACTCCCAGGTAATTGGTTTAGCACCAGCTCAGGCTAGCCACTAAGGCTTCCTCATGAACTGCCCTGTTGAGCAGTCATTTTACTCTGCCCCACACTTGGCAGTGAACTACCACTCGGACTGGCCATTGATATGGGTTGTCAGCATCGGGTAATATTCCTTTTTCTCCCAAAATGGGTGAGCAGCCCCCGTGGCAAGGCTAAGGCAACCCCACTCTCACACTAAAATGCAGTAGATGTGGAAGAAACCTTCTTCTTCTTCTACCCAGGGAAGGAGGGAAGAACACAGAGGCCACAGCAGTCCGGCAAGGCGAGTGCTGCAGCAGACTTCTTTCTGTCCAAGTACAGCATAATCTGGAAAAATGTCATTGCACATCCCAAGGCAAGAGGGACACAAATTCTGTGCAATTTTCTATCTGAATTAAGCAATCCCTCAAGTCAGCTTTGAACAGCACAGAAACATGCTGTGTTCTGAGTTAGTGGAAGGAAAGTTTGAGAGAAAATTGGGAAATTTGGAGAAAACTGAGACTTGGAGAAATGGTCGGCTGATGAGAGAAGGCATATTAAATCTGTCTTAAGAAAACAGCATTTAGGTTGTTATGTAGGCTGGGAAAGCATCGGCTGTGAGCAGTTGCAAATTTAATGCATTTAATTTCCACACCGAAGACCATTAAATCATATTCCCTTTCATTTAAGGGAGGAAAACAACACTTTTTGCCTTGTGCTGAACTAGAGAAAAAGAGCATGTAGACCTTCATGCAGGATGTTCAAAAGCAGATAGCAGTCAACCTATCGATGCCTGTACGCATACACTTTTTTAAGCACCCTGCCAACATTTACACAATTCAAAATCAAGGCTTAGGTGAAAGCGGGACATACCTGTTTTAACGTGACATATAGCTCACACGTGTTGGTCTGAATCACCCAGAAACACAGCGACCACTTCTATTTCAATGGAAGATTGTGAAGGCAACCTGTACTATTCTGGCCCGCATTATTCAAGCCTTCTCTTCCTGGAACTGGTGACGTTCTACCATTTGTTTCAAAGAGATATGATCACTTACATGCTTTTGAAGGTTTCTTGTTCTCCTGTTTCTAATAAGGGATGGTTGTTGTTTTTTTTAATTTTGGTGTTGGCCGAGAGTGATTCTGAGCTTGAAATTTGGACCTGGAAAATACCGCATTGCTTAGGAGATCCATAAATTAACATTTACACCAACAGGAAACAAAAGAAAAACAACTGATGGGGGAAGACTGCCCAGAGACCTGCAAGTTTCCGCATCGGGGGGTTTCTCCTGAGACGAAGCTGGAAGAGAGTTTTAGACCTAAAAAGCCGTTGCTGTTGGGTTTGGATGCTAATTCCTAGAGTGGTTGTCAAAGAGACTGAGAGCACAAGCCCTGGATGAAAATCACAGTTGAGGACTGGCAGCGGTGCTGTGAGCCCAGCTGCCCGAGGAGGCACCACCAGCCCTGCCCCTCCGAGAAGGGAAGGGGTCTCCTGTCCCTGTTCACAAGGCATCTCTGGGCATCCTCCTGGGATTTCACCAGCCTGCATCTCCCCTTTTGTACTAATCCTTTTTGTACCGGTGGTTCCCGGCGCATCTTCTGCCAAGACGCGGACTTTGTGCAGAAAAAAAACCACCCTATTTTCTAGTGCCAAAGTTATTAATAATTAACATTTGCAACACGCAACTGGTAAAACCAGTTTGCTAAAATAAAGCCGGGCATTTTATTATTATTTTAGGGTTTAATTTAGTCATCGTAAGTTACTCAGGCTCATGTTTGCAAATTATGCAGGGCAGGGACTTCACCCCTCCGGCCCGACCAGTTCTGGAGAGCGGCCGGGGCAGCGCAGCAGAGGGGCGGCCGCGGGGCCCGGCAGGGTGTCGGGGCCGCGGGGGCGGCCGTAGGGCCGGGAGAAGGGGGGGTGTCACTGCCGGGGGGGGGGGGCCGCGGGGCCGGGGCGGCAGCCCGGCGGGTCGGCCCGCGGCCGGGG